TCTTTTTGTTTTTAGTTTTTTTTTTTTTTTATTTCTTGTTGAGTTTTGTTTTTTTTGGTTTTATTTTGTTATTATATTTTAAACTTTCTTGTCTTTTATTTTTTGGTTTTGTTGTTTTTTTTTGTGGTGTTATTTTTGGTTTTTTTTTTGCTTCTTTTTTTTTTTTGTACCGTGAAACCGACTGGAAAATAGACATTAAAAAGAAGAACCAAGAAAGTAAAATGTACTGACAGTTTGCAAATCGGATCCGTGTTCTCTTTGAATGTTAATGAGAACCACATGCTGCTTATAAACTCTGTACAATGCAGATTCTTTTTAAAATAAGTAAAAAATGTAGTTAAAGCAAGTCGGAGTAGGGGCACCTTAAGATTACGATTCAGAGACTGCGATTCGATTACAAAAACTGTTTGTATTGATGCACTTTTTCCACATTTCCAGAGTTAAAATCATTTCCATTATTCGTTATTACCTTTATGAAAATATCTCTTGGAATGGAAATGCATAAACATTTGAACTTTAGTGTATCGCTCAAGGTGCTTTTAGCTGCATTAAGTGTTTCATATGCTAGTGACAGGCTTAAATGAACTACTACTTCAGGACCAACAGCGCAAAACGGTAATTCTGCGATGCCTTTCATATTCCGCGTGGCCTTTTGCGATGTGGGAGGCAGCTAACCCAGAGCGTCTTTGATAGTTCTCTAGCTGTTAGTAGCCACAGCAGCTTTCCCACTTCCTCCTTCGGGTGGAATCGGGCTGTGTGACTTCTCCTGCTCGTTTTGACAACTTTTTTTTTTTGATTGTGAAATTTTCTGCTCAAATCAAACACAAGTATTTACAATATTTACATTCTTAGTTTATATGACCTTTTGAACATTCTGTGTTTGCACTATCTATACAATTAGTACATTTTAGCACAACAAATCTTGAACGCAATGTAGCTTCATTCATTCATTCATTTTCATCCCTTTGTTATCCATTTCTGGGTCAGGGGGGTGTCATTCAGAGCTGCCACCCAATTCACAAAGCACCAGTCCCTGGCTGATCCTCTTACAGGTGGTGGGTCCACAGGAAGATGGCTGCTCCTTCAACACAGATACGGCCTTGTTCTTTCAGCAGGGACTTCAGGCAAAGTGGGGTTAAGTGTCTTGCCCAGGGACACAACAACAGCAAACATCAGGGGGAGAAGATTACATGGGTCGTGGTGGGATCGAATCCACAACCATTAGGTCCAAAGACCATTCCTTTTCCCATCAATGTGGTTGAATCCAAAATTATTCCACACTTTTTTCAATGTTTAGGAGCAGGTCTGATCTCACGGCGAGGTGGGCGGGTAAGCTCAGCCATTCTTGTTGTTGTTTTGTTTTATTCTGGAGGACTGTGCTGTGGATGCGTCACTCGGTCCGTCCCCTACAGTGTTTTGAAGACCGTGCTTACTGCATTTCAGTTCCACTTTACTTGGTATATCTAAATAATCTAAATGTGGATGTTTGTGAATGGTTCTCGATTTGTCCACGGCCAAAAGAATTGTAGATTTCCCCCACATCTGACTCCTATGCATTATTGCCGATACACACAGAGGACCTTACCCTGAATGAAGTGAGTTTGTACTTCTGGCAATTGCAGTGTCTTTACACCGAAGACCTGCACCTGAGAGACCTGTACGTGTTAGTTCACACCTCTGTCTCACTGACAGCACTGCTAAGACCCCGGTGCACATCTGTGGGCGAGCCAAGTCTCTCGAGTACCACATGGATCTTCCACATGAAGCATCAGTACAACCTCACCTTGTATGTGAATATCATACACACAACTTTTTGGCAATATATTTGTTGTATCTAGTTTTCTTTTTTTCCTCACTCTGTCCAGGGGTATCCCTCTCTTGAGCATTATGATGTTTCGACCGTACTACAATATATTCATAAATACTATACCAAATATATATATAGATTTCTTTATTACGGCCTTTCTTAAAAGCCATAGTTTCTTTCATTCCATACAGAGGTTACATACTTGCAGTTAGCAAAATAACTTTCCTACCACTAAAAACATGTACAGAAGGTCTGGCCTCCTGTACGTATTGATAAAGACAATAATTGCGTATTGTTTGATCTAGATCAGTGTTTTTCAACCTTTTTTGAGCCAAGGCACACTTTTTTTACTGAAAAAATCTTGCGGCACACCTCCAGGAGAAAATGTAAAAATGTATACAGTACTAATGTAACAAAATATATACTGTACATACTCTGTGTGATATATAAAGTTTCTTATCTTATAATGTATACAGTATACTCTGTAGCCTATATTCACAATATACAGTTATTCTCATCAAAATGCTTAAGTCCAGGCCTTGACATTAAGCTTTATTTAATATTTCTCGATACAATTAACAGGAGTTTGGGAATAAAGTGGCACTAACTGTGTAGAAAAAAACTAAGAAAATCCACTCTCTACCCAAATAGTCAAATAATAACTCACACAAAGAACATGCATTGTTAGTGCATGGGAAAAATTTAGGTATCCGAGCTTTAAATTCAGGAGTTTTGGATGAGGGACACGGGAGGTCCTGAACGCGAGTCCATGGTTCTGTCCGGTCCGCATGTCTGTGGTTCTGTCCACTCGACTATGGTCTGCGCTCGGTACCCAGTTCAGAAGTGCGTTCGCGAGAGCTGTTGTACAAAAATTGTACATTTCATAGTTAAACCACTACAACGCGGCCACAGCTGCCCCGGGGCAGAGCGGAGGATGTTAATCCTGTTCAGAAACGGCATAATTCATTTTCAAAAACGTCTCTATCACTTTCACTTCTCACTCGCCACAAAGCTCTTGTCTCGCTCCCTCCCACATTTGTTGGTCGCATCCAATTTTACCTTTCTCGCCACAATGCTGACCTGTAGCCAGTGGTCGCATCCAATTTTTCAGTTTCAAAGTACTTAGCTATCTGCTGCCATCTACTGATTTGAAAAAGTATTACATGGTTACTCCACAGTTCAAAACAAGTCACCGCTCGTCAACAGCGAATGCAGTTATTTTTAGACAAAGTAGACGAATTTCTCACGGCACACCAGACAATATCATACGGCACACTAGTGTGCCGCGGCACAGTGGTTGAAAAACACTGATCTAGATAATCGTCCAAATCCAATTAGACACATTGAATAGTCATTGATAAATAAATTAACCAAACACAATCAACCGTTCTATGCCTGAACAAATTGATAGATGTCCTGGAGCCTCCCCTGTCCTTAGACCCTCCGTCGTCCTTATTAAAGAGTTGAAGTATGAATGTTATTGTTCTCTGTGCTGTGGACAGAGTGTGCTGGCCTCTGCTTAAGCCACTGCTAACACTCCTGCACAAACAAATAATATAAATGCGGCCTCTAGTCTTGACAGCTAAAAACCAGAGAGAAGAGCTCCTCACGGCTTCAGTTGATAATCGATAACCTTGCATTAAGGGTTTGCACTCTACCACTGCATCAGGTCCAGTACATGTGATAATTAGTTGCAGAAGGACTGTCCTCAGGGTGTCTGCACTGGATAACAGTTTTCAGATGTACAAGGTCCTCCGCTCTGCAAAGAGGCCTATGAGCTGTGATCTGCCAAAACTCTTAAAACATACGATAATCAAGGACTCCTCTGGCCCCTGGAAAAGCCATGTTCCAGCTTCTTTTAACTTTGTTTTAAGAACGAACTTTTCTTGTGCACACCGGGGACTTTTGCACATGTATTCCAATGTGGTTTTACTGCAAATGGCAAATAGATGAATCTGAATCTGAAATTTAAAACTTGCTCCAAGGCTTTTCAAAGATGCTTGGGTTGAAACTGTGTTGAAATGTTTGTGGCTCAGTGGCGCTTTTTTGCGCACGGTCGCTGACATGTTATGGCAGAGACTCGCCAAGATCCATGCGGAAACTTGCCTGCATTTGGGCATTGTCTTGGTTCCCAGTTGCTGCGCAGTGGATGAATCTCCCCATGTATGCGTTGTGTCATACACGCGTGTGATGGTCCTCACTCGCGTTCTCACGGCACGTGCTCCAAAGGGGCTCAGCCTTGCTCTGGACAATCAGAGCAGTTCATCAGGCAGGAGTTAGAGCCGAGAGACAGCGGGCAGAGTTTGTGGCACTAAAGAGTGGATTTAAACAAAACCGAAGGATGTAGAAGACAAAAAGTTCAGGATGACAAGTGACACTAAAATCCCACTAAATCCGACCCTTATGAAAGCTGTTGGTTCTCTGTCAGCTGAGGTTGCGCTGTCTTTGATTTACATTGTGTTCTATGTGGAAAATCTATGGGGTAGCCCACGTGAATTTAGTCTGGTTTAGTCTGCAGTACGGGAGAATCCCCGAGCACATGGGTTCTCAGCTCCAAGCTGTATTACCCTATCCAGTGATTATATTAGTTCATGAGTTTCACTATATCGTCGTTGAAATTAATGTGCCCACTTTTGCCTCTACGGGCAGTTTCAAAATGGCACGGGGCCGGAAAAGTTAAAAAATGCATTTGTACTTATTTGAGTATTGCGTTCATTGTCTCTATGTAAGGATGACAATGATGAGTTGGATTGTGACTAAGATTGGATTGGGGGAATAAAAAACCCACCTGTACAATTTGACTGAAGAAATTTCCTACAGATTACAAAGCATATTACTTAATACCTTAATATACATACAACGCATATACAAATACCTGAAAGGAATGGCCACATGTTTTTACGTTCTGACTATGGAATAATGTCAGAATGTTGCTCCTCGTAATTAAATACGAGGAGCACTATGTCGCGCATACACCTAAAGACTTATCTCCGCCCACTTCCGCAAATAGAAGCAGCGTGACTTGTGTCCGTACGGTA